TGTCAGCTCCCTGATCCCTGGCCATAATTCATCAATCTCTCCAACAGCCCTTTGTGCAACTACCATGATGCTAATGGGGCTCGGCCACTAATTAGCAGCATTATCATTAATGTCCTCCTGCTTTGCTCATAGCACAATGCTATCAGGGAGGTTAAAGCCAGGTTCTGTACACTGTGGGCAAAGTGCAGACCCCTACACCTAGCAACTGATATGCTCCGAGCTGGGCACGCCGCTTGCTGCCAGCCCTGTAGTGTTTACCCTGAGCCCTGCTCAGTTCTGCAGAAGCTCTCAGCTCTTGACTGTGCAGAGCAGCAGCACGTGGCCTTGCTGAGTGATTGATGCATAAACTGTTAACTGCGAGCAGAACAGCCCATGCTGGAATGGGGCAGGCAACCTCCTGACTGCTGGGGCTTTTGCTGTTTGGCACAGGTGTCACAGTACCCACTCAGCAAATAAGCTGTATGCTGCTATACTGTACTTTCAAAAACAAACAAACAACAACAACAAAAAAAACTCAACAAAACAATCTGAGAAGCTGAAATTACTTAATTTTTTTAAGGGAGTGGAGGCTTTAGAGAACATGTGTAGGATCTGGTGCAGTATTTTCCATGCAAGCAGACACCTGGGCTTTCCTGAGAGCCCTGCAGCACAGCTCTCAGCAGGCTCAGTTGAAAGGGTAATGCATACCCAGGTGATTTTGGTACATGGTATTATTTACCCTATTGACGTCAGCAGCTGCATGCTCTCAGCTCCCAGCTTACAGGAGGCGGGCTGCAGAGGGCTCATGATCTTCCCAAGAGCACCCAACCTTTCTAGAGATCAGCATATAATTCTCAGTTAAGTAAATGTCCATTTGTCCATTGGGACCAAATCTCATATTAGCTTTCCAAAATGTAACTCATTTTGTTTCTATTCTGTAAATCAACACCACATGACTTCTTATCAGAAAATAAAGGTGGTAGTGTTTTGATAAGTCAGTTCAGTAAGTACTGTTACCTAAAACCGTATTATGGCATTTTCCTTGCAGAAAATTTCTCCATTAAAGTATCTTTCTGAGTACAGAGATCTCTTATAAAAACAAACATTTTTATACCCCTTCGTAATGCTGAGTGGCAGCTATATAGGAAATGGAGTTTTCCCAGCAGGGATACTGTTTGGGATCCTTGCTGGAAAGACCTGAAAAAAATGGGTAGACAGTAATTCCTGAAATGAGCTGGAAAGATGAGGTCTAGTTTTTGAGTCTTGTTTTCTCTACACGACCTTTACTAATACCAATGCTCGTCTAAGAGCAAAGGCAAATAGGTGTCTAGTGGTGTGATTTTGCAGGTTGGGCTCAGCCAGAGTATTTTAGGCACTCCAGTATTGTCATGTGGTGCTATTGTTGTATGCTTCGGTCTGAGGTAGGCCTGTTAATGATGTTTTTGGAGTGTCATTTCAAACACACAGTAGTCCTCTGCTTCCCACACTCCGTGCTGGTGGGCTGTGTGGCTCCTGGGGCTGTTCCTTGCCAGGGCCAGCTTTGTCTATGTACCTGGTGTGAGCATGCATGGCTGTTGGCAGTGAGGGGAGGGGGCTGCTCTGCATCTTTGTGTGCACTTCTCAGCTTTGGATCTAGTTTCCTGACACTCATTTCTGTGCTGTCCCATGTTATTGTTTAGCTTTGATCTTCTTCCAGATACCAGGTAAAGTGTTTCAATATCAGTTCATCAGTCTTCCTTTTCGTTTCTGCCTTGTTTCCAATGTCTCTGCTGTGCTAAAACACATGCCAATACTATTTGCTCTTTGTGCCCCTGTTGGCTGCTCCTCTAGTGGCTGAATCTGCCTCATTTCTCTGTTCTGCTTCCCAATTCTTATTCCTTTGAGGTTTTCTGTTCCTAATTCACAGTTGATTCTCTGTAAGATTTACCCAATTAGTAATTTCTTTTCATCATATTTAATGTGAGTTTCCTGACATATCACCTCCCTTTCAGACATGCAATCTGACATTCTTGTCAGAAAATAAGCTGAGTCAGGAGAGGTGTCAGCCTTTTGTTGTCCCAGTGGACAGCCCTCTCTGCCAGGCTGACCTGCTTGGCAATGTTCCCTCCGTGTTGTCCTCACTGGCGTCAGGACTATAGAATCTGTGTGGCATTGGCCAGTTACACACCCTGATTTATGGGGGAAAAATAATTGATCCTGTTTTGAAGCTCATTTTCTTGTGTAGGGGATTCTTACCAGTGATTAAGCAGTTATACTGTACTCCCTCATTAGCAAATACACAGATACTAATTTTGTTCTGCTTCCTGCTTGTCATATAGCATTGCATTCAGTCACCCTGTGTAGCAATACCGAAGTACACTGGCAAATCCCATCTCACCTTGCATTCCCTGCTTCAGAACTGGGGAAATCTGCTTATTGGCCTGCTGTGCCTCTTTGTTTCAACTCTCTGCTTCTGAGAACTGGTGCAGAACATGCTGGAGTCCTTCCCTAGGCTTTCTCTCCACTCTTCCTTCAGCTAACATCCCTCACTGCTACTTTGCTTTGTTCTGTATTGAAGGACTTGGGGATGGAGTTTTCCGAGGCTTGTATAGGATGTGTTCAGGACACTGGTGGAAAGTAAGCAGAGGATGAAGCTTGCACTCACAGAAATCACGCTCCAAATTTAGACTAAGTTTCCTTGCAATTCAGATTGCGAAAGCCAATATAGCAGAAGTGATGTGTATGCGTCTGCTTTTGCCCCATGCACATATGGTGCTGACAGTCAGCTGCTGCCCAGTGTGGCTGTTTTCCCATGACAGCCCTGCCTGCTGATGCATCTGCATAACCTCAGCCACGCTGCACAAAATGGAATGCACTGCTGGCCTGCAGTCAGTAGGGAACACTATGCAAGGGGCTTAAAAGACCCTGCCTGCAGGCTGGAACTTAGTCCAGAGGGGAGGGCTTCTTCCCATCTCCACTGGGGTAAGAAGGGCTTAACCTTTACGTTCCAGGGTGAGAGTGTCTTCCAGACAGCTTGTAAGGTTAGCTTAGGCAACCCTTTGAGGTGTGACCTTCTCTAGTTTTGCTTTGACTGCTAATAGCAAATATGTATGGGAAGAAGTGTTCCTTTCTTCCTGTCCCATATGTAGCCTATCTGCAGTGTTGCTAGAGGATGAACAGCTCCAGGCTGTGCAGCTTGAGCACTTTCCTGTCACCAACTGATGGTCAGGGGTAAGCAGGGCATGCAGGCAAAGCACCTGCATCCCTTTTGCTGGGGTCATCACATCAAACTGCATCAAGGGGCAGCAGAGGAGCAGAGTATGTGGGAAAGCAGACAAAGCAGATGCATTGGTCCTGTTGAGCTTGGTGTATGCTTATGGCACATAAGCATTTCTTGTAGTCTGAGCTCACAGTCTTGAGGCTTCTTGACACTTCTGATTCACAGGAATGTGGAATGTGATCAGTCAGTTGTTTTTAACAGTACTGACCTCCTAGATCTGTTGCTGAGTGTTTTGTGTTACAGTGTGTCACCCAAAGTGCTGTATTCAGGTGCAGTTGTTTATGGCCAGTTGTAGCTGAGGTCACTGAGCAAATGCAATAGGGACAGCAGAGTTTCAGTGTGGTAGGCCAGATCAACTTGCTGGATTTTATGCTGATTTTTCTTTTGGTCTCTGAGCATCACACATTTCTTGCTACTGAAGAAACCCTTGAAGTCACAGGAGTTATGTTAGAGATGTCAAGGAAAGAAATCTTGGGATATTTTCACATGTGCACTTCTGTGACCTATCTTGTAATATAACTGTTGTTGCAGCTCTGTGGAAGAAGCTGAGATGTAATGCTTTCCTTACCTGATCTTGTTTCCAACTCTCCCTCTCCTTGGAGTGTGGCATTGTGCTTTCCCACAGAGTCTCTCTTTGGAGGTGCCCAATTTTTCTGTAGACATAAGCTTTCAGCTTAAATTATAAGAGAACTGCTGAGGTTCATTCTTTAGTTTTTCATCCTCAACAGGACAGTGGTGTAGGGCTTCAAGCAGAGGAATAATCTTAATTTTTCATTGTTGCCGCTTATAGTTGTAGAAAGATGAAGCTTCTCCTGTAAGAGGAAGGTCCTAGGTTGTCTTAGGCTCAAAGTAAGCCTTTTATACCGGCTCAGGGTAAAAGGTTTCAAGGAAAGCAGTGAATGGGATGTAATTTGTAAATTGTTGTAACTTGTTGAATTCTCAGAGTGGGGCTTCTTTTCTTAGGTCTTTAATGGGCCAGTTCAGTCTTACTGTCAGTGCAGAGAAAGGGAAGAGCAGGAAATAGGAGTTTTCAAATTAATTGGACAATTTTGGGCCAAGTGCAAATCTTGCTTCGGATTCCACAGAAGGGAAACTTCTGCCAACTTTCCCTTGTTTTGTCATTTCACCTTAAAGTCATTTTGAACAAGTCTTCTGCCAGTGAAAGTATGAAGTACTGTAAGAATCTTGAGGCATCAATCTTTCCGGTCTCTGGAAAAGACTTCAGTGTCCCATCGACTGCCTGATTCTTTATTCTTCGTGAAACATTCACACAGCATTCCTAGGAATTAGAATTGTATGATCTACATTAAACTGCTTTTGCATAACCTCTTGGATAACTTATCCTGACTGATGTGGAGCAATGACAAAAGTAGTAGTGATTTTTTGAGAATAACTTTCCTCTTTCGATGTCAAATTGATATACCACTGGCCTTGCCAGTTTAGGAGTCCTGCTCCAGAACCAAAGATAATAAAGACATGCAATTTTTTTTTCCTCCGTGAAACTGTTAGAATGCTTTCTCAACTTGCCTTGCAGAGTCTGTAGTATCAACAACCTCATGTGTGTTAAAACAGTAGGAAGCCAAATAATTCTAGAGAATCCATCCTTTGCAGTAGCTGGTGGGTTTTTTTTTTTTTTTGGTGGTTGTTTTTTTTTTTTTTTTTGTGATTTGAAGCTTGGTGTGTCAGGGATAACTGCAACATAATATGTAAAGAGGCTGTTAAAGAACACTGAGCAGCAGAAGCCATGGTAGCTCACTACATATTTGAAAATGAAATGTACGTATTCTTTATTTTGTATCAATACACTGTAATTGCTTCACAGAGTCCAGCATATCAGTTGCATGTAAATACTACAGATGAACTTACCAAACTGGAGCTCACAATACTAGTGCATTTATCCCAAAGCAGAGACTAAACCCTCTAACTCCTTAAAAAAATACATTAAAGAACGTACCACACACACACATATTGCACTTTTCTCCATATGAAATTTTTACCCCATATACATCGCACCAAAGTCTCTTCAAAGGAGCCTGTAATACAAGATAATAAAGCTAATAATTACTCTTAACAGTAGTGTATGCTGTCCTCTAATGTTAGACGTAACAGATTTGAACAAAGGAACTACTTTGAAGTAGCATGACTACAAAGTGGTGTTCAGTGGATACTCTGCTGTATTAAAAGCCATTAGAAGCCTTTTATTCTAACTGACTTAAGGAAATTGCATGAAATAGTAAATAGGATGGTGATTGAGGGTAACAGTCTGAACTATATTCAAAAACTCCATAGCTTTCCCCTTAGCAGTACTGCAAAGCTCAGCTGAGCTTAGACTCATTGGCACATTTTGTTAAATGAATCACATAATTCTGCTCTTGAGTTATCACTGACTTCCAAAATGTATGGTATGATGGAGCTGCACAGGGAGGAAAGTGGTTATAGGCTTGGCAGTAAGCTAGCTCCTGATGCAAAACTGGGCCTGTTGCCACAGCTGAGTGCGTCCCAGTGACGGTTTTTGCTGCATGGTTCCTCGAGCACTCGTCTGATCTTAGAACTGCAGGATAGAAAAGGAATGAAAGGAAAGGACATCTTTGCCTCTGTATGGGAACTGCTGAGTCACAGCCTGAACCTGGGATTGATCACCTGAGGTGAGCCATGAGTCAGCCATGGAGCACAGGTGAAGGCAATTCAATCCACCTGTGCTGCTGGAAGGGGTGGAGCCTGGCTGCACCTCTCCTAGGCCCATTGAAGAGCTGGCTGCCAGTGGGGGAGGATCTCTTCTGGACATCCCTCCTCTGGAATTTTGTACTGAGCCCAGAATGAGGGTAAGCTTTCTATCTATTCTGTTTTTGTTATAATCTGCTTTGCCAAACTCTCTTGCTTATTTCATAATTATAACATCTTTATATTCATTGACTACACAGCCTCCTTTTCTCTTCTGCCATAATGATATGCCTGGTGTGTTATGCTGTAGTGGTTTTCATCTCTTTCCTGTCCTTTTGTCAGTCACTTCAGGGGGGCACTGAGGTTTCTATGTTCTGCAGCTATTTGCACTGTCAGAAAAAGCTTTAATTGTGTGAATTCCCTTAGAAAAGAAATGTGTCTATCTCAGCTATCTAAACAACAGTTTTCCAGCTCTCTTTTATCAAAAAAGTAAGTAGTGTGTAGATGTGATTGCTGTTCCTTAAACTTTCTTTTGCTTTTGCCTTGAGAATTGTTCTGATATCAGAGGTAGAAGTGAGCACTTCCGACTGAATTGGAGCTGTATCAGAGCAGGCTCTGTATCAACAGTGATGACATCTCTAACTGTCATACACAGAAAACAAGGTACTTTCTGTCAGTTGTTAAACTCTTCCCTCCTTCACAAAGCCTACAGTGCAGTGACTGAAGTCTATTCCACATTTAAGCGTGGTCTTATTGCTGTAAATGCTGGCTGATAATTCACCTTTCTGGTGAAAGAGAGTAGTTTTGAGAACTCCTTGTTGAAGTTCAGTAGGATCTATGGTCTGACACACACTGAAGACCCAACCAATCACAAGTACTTTTTTTTTTTTCTTTTCTTCCTCCTGCTATCTCTCCAAGCCTGTGCTTTGCTACAGTATGTAAAAACACTAGAAACATTTGTCTATCCATTTTAAGTGACTACATGTCCTGAAGCCACTCTCTTTAGTTGTAGTGTCAAAATCTTTTATTTAACTTTAAACTTATATCGTAGAGAAATTTTCCAGTAAACAGTGGTCTCTACATGTGCCATCAGCACAGTTTCTCCAACATTTGTGCTTTAGTGAATCTGCAACTGTGCTTAAAGTTTGCTCAGAAAAGGGCTGAAACTGTCTGGCTACAAGCTTCATCTACAGGAGAAAGATAGACAATAACCCGCAACATTTGAAGACCTGAGATGAGCTCCAAATTAGTGATCTAAACTTACTGCAGATTCCTAAATAATCCTCCTACAACTAACATCTCCTGACTGGAAGTTCTGGGGACACAACTGCTTGTTGAAATTTGTATTTGTTGAAGTAGTACGTAACAGTTCTTGATGCTCAATATTGCTGTAATACTTTCAGTATATTGTATATACTGAGACAATCAAAATGCTAACAAAGTTCAACATTACATTCCACATAGTGGAACGCGTGCTCTGAAGGGACTTTGGCAGTAGCAAGGATGTAGATGGGGTATTGTCTATTTCTTCAGGAAAAAAAAAGCATACAGTCTGATAAAGAACTGAAAAAAGGCACAGCACTATCACTTCACAGGGTTTTTTTTTTTTAAGCTCATTAAGTTCTAAAACTGTAAATAATTGTCCATATATACAAAGCTCAATAAACCACCAGCAACACATATTGCAAATTCAAAACACTGTTTGTTTCTAAAATGCCGTAGAAGGTCAGATAGATCTTCTCCAAGATAGAACTCTCCACAACAGTCTGTCTGCAGCAAGGGGTGATTTCCAACATCACCTAGGTAGATCTCTGAATGCCACTGGCTGCAGCTCTTGCTGTCCTTCTTGGCCTGTCCCTCTGCTACTAATCCTTGACCTTTCAGTATTCTCAGCTCCACCCAAAGCATCTAGAAAACACTGTGATGCCCTGGATCAGTTCCAAGTGTCCTTTTATCAAGTCAATACATTACTTAACAAATATCCAGAAGCTTCCCTTAGTGACCAATTAAGAATTCCTTGGCAGGCTTGGGAAATAACTGTTTATTTGCTAGCAGGAGGAAGCAGAGGCTGCCTGAGGTTCCTGGTGCTCTCTTAGACTTACGACAGAGCAGTCGCAGATCGGTAGCTTAACCAGAAACTGGATGCCGAAGTGCAACTTTCCTTTGGATCCACCTCACTACTGCTTCAGCTCAGTATGCTACTTGCTATCAGCTCAGATCCAAATTAAGTCTGAATTTCAGTGAAAACTATTGCTTTTATTGCCAAGAAGTAGAATGCAATATGCATTCGTTCTCTTTTCTCCTAGCAAGTGCTAGGTGAACACTGCCAGACTATCAAAGTTTTTGGAAGGGGCCACTTCCTTTATATATATATATATATATATATATATATATATATATATATATATTTTTTTTTTTTTTTTTTTCTCTCCTTCTACACAAACTGGTTCTTTATGCAACCAAGCTGAACTGTTTGTCTAGCCCCAGCCACTGAAAGGAGAAGCTGGTGGCCACATGCTTCTAGCCATCTCCAGCTTTTTTCTGGCCAGGTGGATTTTTAGTTCCCTTGTTGACTGAAGGATCAGAAACTTTAGGGTTGGAACAAAGCCAAAAATTTACATGCTTCTCCATCTACCCTGGCTTCCACTCTCATGTTAGACACCCATGGTATTAATTCACCAGGACGTAGCCGCTGTGCTGGGGATCTACAGTTTCCATCATCTCACAATCAAAGAGTCCGGGCAGTTCTGAGAGGGTCAGTGCATCGTAGTTTGACTGTGGCTCCTGGGCTGCCAAGCTGCCCTGGCTGTCAGGCAATGCTACACTGCTCTGCTGTGCTGGGTCCATGGAATACTGGCACTGGTCAGGGTAGTCTGGCTCAGAAGAGGTGACAACAGGCAGTTCACAAGTCTGATAGGAGTACTGTAAGGATTGTGGTGGCTGCTGCACCTGAATTGGTGATGACAATCGTGATGAGCTGGTGAGCAGGGAGGGCGGTGGTGGCTCCAGCTGTACTTTCTGGTAGTGACTGAGGAAGAGGTCATATTGTATTTGTTCTGAGGAAGGCTCCATGACAGGGCTTAGAGTCTGCTGGAGGCTGAACTGAGTTGGTTGCTGCTGTGCTGATGGCTGCTGCTCCTCCTGGCATGAAAGTGGCATTTGACTTGACCTTGGGTACGAACTCTCGGCTATTTGCATCTGGTTAAAATAGGCCTGCAGCTGGGACTGCTTCTGGAGAAAGAGTCTCTTCTGATGCAGTCTGAATCGAGGACAAAAACAGCAATTAACAGCAATTATTTTTTGGCTTTTCAAGTGTTAAGGCACTAGCATCAGTGCTACTACACTTGCACTCCTACAGTTCCAGCAGGGAGCAAAGGGCAGAAATGGAAAATTCCTAGTCAACCTTTTTTATTTATTGAAATTTAGTGTGTGGAACTTGTGAACAGAACAGTTGTACTTCTCCAGCTACTAAGGCAAGCGAACAAAGCTTCCCTCCCCCATATTCCTTCTATCTGAACTGCACTCCTCACTATGAAGTTTTACAAAACTTCACAGCCTTTGACCTCCTTGCAAACTGGAAGAATTTTCAACACGGTGTCAGGTTACACAGCTACCTTTGAAAATTCCTGTGATATGACAAAGGGGAGGGCTCTTGCCAGCCAATTCCCTAAGCACATACAAATAGGAAACCCGCTATTGACGTATGCTGATAGCATTCAGAAAAGGAATCTATTGTTTCCCAGCTTATTTCTCTGCACAGACATCCTAGTCTTGAATAAATGTATCAAGCTGCTCTGAATACTGTCAGTATTGTCAGTTAAGTTCTTGATTAGGATTAATCAGTTGTCAGGAGTGTCTGTGACCTATAAAGCAATTCTAGATTACATACTTCCTTGAAATCAAGTAGTATTTTCATACTTCTATTCCTTAATTCTTTTTGTTCCATAAAGAATGTAGCTAGGTTGCTGTTTTCCTTTCTCGTTTTCCAATTCTTCTGCAAAATTTAGTGACATGGACACGTGTTTAGTATCCTCTTTGTTTGCTTAATAATTACCAAATGATGAGCTCATAAAAACCTTACAGCTCTTTAACTTGTCAATTAAAAGCTTGTCTGCCATAATACATTATAACAGTTATAAAAAGGCGCATTTCCAATCCATTCATTCCTTTTTTTTCTCTACAGTAACTTTTTCAAAGGAGCATCACTTCTGAATTTTCACTGACAAGAAAAACTCTGTTTACTTCTCATTTTCTTCACAGTAAGATTACTAGGTCATAGGAACAAGGTGGGAAATAACTAAATGAATGCAGAGCTCTCAAGCAGGTGAAAGGGTATGAGCCATGCTCTGACCTACCATAAAAAATGCAATGTGTAGTGAGTGGTGGGGACAGCAAGGGAAAAGATGAGCACAACAGCGCAAGAAGTAACTTTCTGCTCTGCTTCCCCTTTGCACGCCAGCACTAAACAAAGCATGTGGGCATATGGGCAGTGTCAGTCTACCTGCGCCCTCCTGGAATTGCAAAACTTGCAGCACAGCAATTTGTAAACTGAAGGCAGGATTGTTGTCCCTTTTTTTTTTTTTTTTTAAAAATAAGTTATTTTTAAGAACTGTGACCTGAACAATTTTTAAGTGAATTTTTCCTTCTCAAGGAATTCCTAATCAGACAAAGTCTGTCTCAGTTCTTTCATTACTACTGAGAGTACGGATAAGTCACTTATATGCGTAGTTTGAAATCTTACCTGTGCTCCTGTAACTGCTGTTCCAGACTCCGGGGCAATTCTTTGCAGAACAGCTGGCAAGTATTTGGAACTTTTGATAGTAGGGTGGGTTTCTGCAAGTAAGGTAGCACTGTTTTAAATTGTATTTGTTCAGTCCAGAATGCAAGTGAAAGAAGATTGCCTCGCCTTATGATGGCTTAAGTGTCCACCTTCATTTTCAGAAGCTGCCACTAGAGCTGCTGTCTAAAACCACAGCTATCACTGCTTACTGACTTCTATCCCTTGGAAAAAGAACATTTTTGATGATGGACTGTATCATACAAGTCCATAGAAAAAATTCTTCCTAACTGGAAGAGAAGGTGGGGGAAAAAAAAGGAGGGGTGTGGGGAGAGGGGGAGTTTGGAAGAGAAACAAAAGATGGGTGGAGGCTCGTCAGATCCTGATGCATCCCCTTTTCAGGGTGCAACACAGATAACAAATATTCATTAGCAGCCACCTCAAATAGCTTTAATAACATTCCGCAGTAAAAGAACAAGTAGGAAAATTCCAGCAATACAGTCTGATTTTCCCATAATTAGAGTCATTGTGCAATAGGAGAAACATACAGCATAATTTCAAATTCAGCTGTTCCCTGCTAAGATAGCATTTGACTCAAGAAGAATAATGGGATCTGAAAAGCCAAAGACACATGAACACAGTGCCTGACTGAGAGTGGTGGGGAAGGCATAGTACCTGGAGCCTGTGCTGCAAGTACTGTGTCTCTAAGCTCTGCCGTCGGGATAACACTGGGGTATGTGCACCACTGGGGAAAGTGGCCGCAGCCTCCTGCTGCTGAGGTCTTTCTTCCTGCAGAAAGAAGGAGGAAAAGCTTCATCCCCAGAAAAATCTTTTTCTGCCTAAACCCTTTCTTTGTGGAGTTCCCCTGGTCAGAGATTCCATTGCTGCTCTTGGAGTTGGGTCCCGGTGTCACCCATCACTTTTTCACTGCATGCTGAGCAGCCCACGTAACAAAGCTCTGAGCTATCTGTGCTGCAAACTGCCAAGGGCTTACATCTGTGACTAAAACCACATTATATATAACACTTTGTGACTTGCTTGCCCTCTGGAGTACTAAAAGTAAAGTGGTAGCAAACTGTGCAAAAGCATGCTCAGAGTTGAGTCAGCTGTCGTTGCACAGCTTCAGAACTGAACACAAAAAGATTTCTATAGCACTTGGGAAGGACATGCACAGCACAGGGGTGGGAGGGAACACTGTGAGCACTCTGGCATGCATATAGCAAGCAAGAAATTCTTGGGGAAACTTTACAACTTGTTGTCAGAACTGAAGTTTTCCAGCAGTCAGAAAGGAACAGCAGGCTTGACCTGGAGCATGGGTGCTTGCAGTGCATGTGTGCTGCTGGCCCGTTTCATTCACAGAGTCTGACAGAGATTTCACATTCCTATTTCCTGCGACCTGTTCCATTCCAAACACATAGTTAGGGAACTGGCAGGAGCAATTTGGCCTTTCACAACACAAATCAAGCTCTTATCACGTAGCTTTTGCACTCCTTAAAGTTATATATAGTGGAGGCTAACTCCAACGTGGAAAGACGTTAATTGAGATTTGTTACATCTGAAACATTCAAATTAAAAGTAATAATGAAATATCAGATTTGGAAAGCTGCCAAGATTCTCAGACACCCCAAGAATATAGAGGCTAACCTGCAAGTACCCATTCTCCATTCTGCAGGAGCCAGAGAGGAGAGAAAGGAGATGTGTCTATGAGCAGCTCTCCTCAGACTCCCCACAGCACCTCATCCCCCCCAGTCCGTCCCACAGCAGTGCACCTGGAGGGGACAGCTATGCTAAGGGTGGTACCTGTGCAGAGCTGGTAGCAAGGTCCTGAAGCTGGGGGGCAGCTGATGGCAGAAGGGGTTCTTCTTCTGATCTCATTTGCTCATACAGTAGCTGGACTTTGTTCAGCTCCAAGATTCCTTTGGTTCGTGCCAGATTCTGGAGGTGCTGTCTGAATGCTACAATACCTGTAGAAGAGGTGTGCAAAAGCCCTCGTCAGAAAATGAGTTACTTCATGTCTGGTTGGCACAGCAGCACAAGATCAGCTGTGGTGCAGTCAGAGCCGTGTAGGAACACAGCAAGTTTAGGGCCTCATGGTTACCTTGTGTGAGGGAAGTGTCCGACGCTCTGCGCCCCTCCCGGAAGCTGACAGGGGAGCGGTTGTGAGTCTCACGCTTCTGGGATGCAAGAGCCTGCATGGCGGGGTTGGTCGGCCGCAGCCCCAGGAACGGTGCTGCCAGCGGCACCACATCCTTCAGCGGAGGGGCATCGCCCAGCAGGCCCACATTCCTCTGCACTGACCCCATGTTGTACTCTGACTCTATGCTGCTGCCCAGAGAGGAGTTCTCATCCAAAGAGTAGACCTTGCCTGTGTCAAAAACCAAAAGCCAAAACAGAAGGAAAGTACAGCAGTAATTAGGAAATGCCATGGGCTCGAGCTATTCCTGCCATGTCCTCCATTAGAGAAAATGAAACAATAGAAGTAATCATAATATGTACAGCACTGGAATGTCTTGGGGTTTCTTACTACTGGTTTTTACATGAGTGCAGCAATAAGACACCATACAGGTGATGTTCAGTGGCTTGTTGAGAGTGCCATCAGTGTTCTTGCAGGGGATTCTGATGGGATCACAGCTTAAGCTGAAAGGCTCTGTCACCTTGCTGGTTGGGCAGTACCCAAGAATCTGGGGGTTTCTGCACGCCCTATCCTCCTCCTCCAGCATGTCTTTAGGGGATGAAGGGCTTGGAGACATTTGGTTATGTGAGAACAGCACAAGCAAACTCACAGGACCTCACCCATTGCTACTGGTACATGACCACAGCCAACTGTTTGATTGCTGCTCTGATTTCATACTGCCTGCTCAGCAGGTTTGGGGGCTGTGCGGAACTGATCTCATGCTTTGAGGTGTTTGCATATGTGTGTAAGGCCCATACCTGTGCCTGGCACCACCACTAGTTGATCGGTGACTTCGGCCAGGGTGTGACGCCGCTTCCCACTGCGAGCTGCCTGCAGGGCTGCAAATGCCTGCGCAGGGTCATCCTCTGCCTCGCCTTCCGTCTCTATTCCTTCGTCGATTGAGGTTTCCATCATGCTAGTTGGCAGTGACTGGCATCCCTTTCGAATCATCATGGGAGGCACGGGATCTAGCAGGCAGCCATTTACCTAAATACCACATGGAACAGACAGCTTTCCATTACACACACTGTAATTGTCCTTGCACACAGCAGCATGCCAAAGTATGAGAAATCTCTGCCTGTCATGGAGGCTGAAGGCAGTTTTCCTAGAACCCATTGAGTTGCTGAAGAGTTGTACAAAACAAATCTCCCAGGTGGTATCACCAAAGCCATTCCCCTTGCTATTGACTCCCTAAATCTCAATTCCACAGCACTGAGTTCTCCATGGCCTTTCTTGTTTAAATCAAAGAAGCAAACTAACTTTGCCAGCTCTGCTACAAATACAAACATTTACAGAATTATCAATATTGTTGCTTCCCCTTGCTCAGTGCTCATTTATTCAAATTCCCAATGCTCATTTTTTGTTATCAAATAAGATCTATTAAATAAATGGTCTTTTTGTATTTAATTAATTGGTGTTCTTTCAGAGCCACAGAAGTGTATTCAGGATTGATACAGTAAGTGTACTCCTTCCAGCAGAAGTCCATTGGACTTGCACTGCTGTTCCATAAACAGAGTGAGTCTGTGGAGCCTTCTTCTTGAATTCACACAGCTTGTTAAATCTCCGAGCAACTTTGTCTGGTTTGAAGTTAGCATTGCTTCCCAAACTGAAATACTGGCCCTTTCCAATCTGAAACACTCCTAGAATTACATTTCTGTATTTATTACTCTTAGTCATTTTGTCTTGAATTCTTTTGTACCTTAACCAATTCCATATGCAATTACTGGTGTGCTGAGGACCACGGCCCATGTCATACTGTTGGCATTCTGCAATACTCTAGAAGCTCTGAGTACTATCCCGCTGCACAAGCTTTGGCAGGCTCAGATTGAGCAAAATACGAATGAAACAGCACATTCATTTAATGTAAAACTACACTGCTGTAGATGATGCTACATAAGACTGGTAAATTGTATTCAACAATGTTTTCTGGTATTTTGAAAATACATGTGTTTGGAAAAGAAAGTTCACTGCATTAATAGTAGCTATTAACAGATGGTCCCAATAGCAGACTATATTGCAGTTACTCCAGGACAGTATTTAAAACAGTACTGAGAAATGCTTTCACTAATTTGAGCTTCAGTATAATGATGATTCTTGCATGGAAAAATTCTGCATCTGCTGCATCTATTTTAAATAGTAGCTGACATCCTTAAGCCTAATTTCCTTGCACACTTTCCATTTGTGACTTTCCCACTCAAAAGCCTTCTAGTGACATGGCAGCAGTAGTGCTGGAAAGAATATTTAGTGAACTGCTGGAATAGAAAGGAGAGCACATGGGCTGTCAGCTCTTTGCAGTTTACCACAGCATGTGGCTCAGAGCTCGGAAGTTTTAGCAGACATGGCATGTAATAGATAGACACTGAAATATTCCTAAGCCATTTGTGATTTAACACCTCACTGTAGTCACCATTTATTGATTTTACTCTGGCCAGATGTCATCTGCAAAAGCAATGGTGCATTCAAAATTAAATTTGAAAAGTTAATTTCCAAATCTCTTTGAAATACTTTTTGCTTTTCAGACTGTAAGGACCCATAGATGGAGTTAATTAAAGCAGTGACGAGAACCAGGACCACGCTCTCAGTAGCTAACCAGCAAATGAGTAGTAAAACCCTCAAAATGGCAAGCCTGAGATCAGAACCCTGCCTGATAGCAGGAAAAATGTGAAGTGCTAAAATTAAAGTTATAACGTGATATAACAGGAGAGAGAACAACAAAAATTTCACAGGAATAACACACTTCACAAATACAGTTCTTCTGAGCAATATCCTCATAAAAGCTGCTGTGTTGTACCCATGCTGCCAACCTCATGCATTTCACTTATTCTTTGCTACCTTGCAGAGTACTGTGACAGACCTCAAAGCTGGATGACAAAATCCATCAGACTATGGCTCCCTTCAGAGCTGAGCTGTAACTGTACATTTCTAGGGCTGCAGAGCTGACATATCACATTAGTTGAGTCAGCTTAATCCGTTAATTGTGGAGGTGCAGGAAACATACACACAGTCTTCCAGTCTGATTAAAGAAAGCAGAACCTATTAGATGGGATAGGCTTTTTTTTTTTTAAACAGTTCTACTTTTTACAGGGATTTCCAGTTACAGGAATGGCCCATCTGAGAGCCCTACAACCTACCTGAAATGCTGAAATTCTAGTAGGCTCTGACAGACTGGAGGTCCTGCAGACTATTTACCATTCAACAGAAACTAAAAAAAATGCAACTGTTTTGACTAGCTTGTTATGAAATTGATATATAAAATACTACACTTAAAAGATCTATTAATGACTTAATCACAAGCTTCCATTGCCAGCTGAAGATTTCATTAAACCCTCCTGTTCTCATTTGTCTGAATTTTTTTGTGATTAGCTGAGTGGATTGCTGTAGATTTTCAGCATAAAGAACAGGCAGGGAGTGCAGAGTCCAGCTCTTAGTCTGGAGGAAGAGCAGTGCACTGGTAGGAAGGGCTGCCAACGTGGAGAAGCAGCCACTGAGCCTCAGAAAGTTGTACAAGATGCAAGGCAGTAATTTAAAAGGCAGCCATGTTTTACTAGTCTTACTGAATTTGGGCACAACAGTAGGGTGAAGCTAGGGTGTACCTTTGGTGTATTGACTCTTTCTTCTTCCAGAAATGCCGTCTCTGTTTGGCAGTTGGACGGAGGGAATGAAAAGACCTCTGCTCCTGAGGTGGGGGGAAGTCCTGGGGACCGTAGCAGCCTCGTGTTTTCTGAGCACAAGTTCACTGATGGCATCACAGCTTGTGCCTAAAAGAAATGAAAGGACTCCAAAAACTGAACAGCTTTAGACAGAAAACAGTGTACAAAGTCACAAATTAAAAACAAACAATTCCCATCCCACCTCCAAAGCGGAACTCTAGAATTCATTTCCTCATTCTTGATGTATCACATTCTTAAACTTGGGGGGAAAAAGTGTCATTACACTAACTACTTATCGAAGCTGAGCACTTGCTAGCGACGAGGAAAGTGGGACTCTTTGGTGCTCTCCTACATATGACATGCTATAATTCCTTTCTATACATATAACACCCTAAATATTACCAAGAGGATCAGGGCTGGTTTCAATGACTTCTCTAACATGCACTGATTCCTGCTGAAAAACAATAAGAAAGAATAGAACAGAACTGTTGAAAGGAGATGTGTGCATCAGTGAAGGCAAGCATGGCAAAATTAGGAAAATAGGATAAACAACCAGTGAAAGCCACTGTTTTCCTGACATGCAGGACACACAGAACTTGTCTATCCAAAATAAAACAAGCAGTCTTATACTGGAGCCTGTGGTGCCACCATGTGTAAAAACAAACTACGTTGTTGCTCACGATAGCTGCACAATTGCTTGCAGTCCTGAGAAAAAGCAGGAATAGCGGCTATAGAATATAGAAAACTTGAACATGGTACAATAATGAACTACCTCCTGTTATGTTCTCTCTTCCTCCTTGCTCATCTCTTTTCACCTACTTTTAATACATCTTATAATTAATAATCTGCCTTTGAATATCATGTCTTTCTGTCTTTAGATCTACCATCTAAGAACATAGCTGGTATTAACCTTTGTCAGTCAGATTTTGCATGGACTTGGGTTTTCATAGTTGAGGTGGTTTGGCTTTAATTTCAGCAGAACCTAAAAACAATGTTTTGCTGTCTTAAGCAAAACAGGAGCAGAGTAGTTGCAATTTCTCCTGGAAGTGGGGCCCAGGTACTTGCTCCATACAGCAGCAGTACAGTACCTATGAGGCCATAAACTTGAGAGTGTATTTTCTTGAAATAACAATAATCTGAGTAATCTTAGGCCAAGTCTTTCATGTTTCCAGTTTTGCATTAATAGAAATTAAAAGCTCTACTTTTGTGTCTAGCCTAATGAAACAAAAGAACATGTTAAAAAAATACCTGAGTATTATTGGAATACGACATGATAAACTCTGCATGACCTTTCTTTCTGAAGAAAATCACAAGGGAAGAAGTAGACTGAATAGCTGCAGAGCCTGGGCTGCAACAGTCAGTATAGTTAGAAGGGATGCTAAGTGGACAGCCATTTGCAATGGATGGGCTGACACCAGATGTAGGGAGCACACAACTGCTGCTAATAAAATACACACAGCATTCTTAAGACTTAAATCAATTAGTTGTCTCAATAGCTCTGTGCTTGTCTATGCTCAGAGGTTTTGCAGCCATGCTGAGAAATCCCTTTGCTGCATAACAGGAAGAAAAAATGGCACAAACTTCAGCAGAAGTGACCTTATTTAGGAACATACCTGAGTCTTGAGCAACAAAGAGTCTCATGACAGTAATTCTCATATTTGCCATGTAATAACGCAATGAATTAGTTTCTTAACCTGCTTATCAATGCTATTTTCTCTTGGGTACCTCTATAATTCAGGGAAACAGAAAGCATATCTAGAGAACAGCAGGTCAGAAAATAATTTTATTTTCAACAGGTCTTTTTGGACTGCCTCTGTTTAAAAGCACTCTGTAGAGCGTTCATGCTTTAGCCCCCATGCCAGCAGAGCCCTCCATAAATTCAATGGCTTATTTGTGGATCGCTTTAAAGATACTCCAAGCATTGCACAGACTGTATTTCTCTAATACTCCAACCATTGATTTCCAAGCAAAAATTTAGAAATTCTCAAAAATGGAAGCTTTCCACTTTGAAGCACAAGCTTTCTCTTGAACCATATTGCCAAAAAAGCGCTGCCCAAAAGGACAAAAGGGATGTTAAGAGCAAAACAAAGAGAAGAGAGGGAATAAAGGGAACCTAAGGTTAAAGCACTCGAATACCTGTTTAAAGCTTAAACTATTGTTTGCATTTTGGGACTCAGAATGAAGTCAGTCAACTTTCACATCTGCCTAGAAAGAGACCTCACCTTGGCTACTGTCTGCTCAGCAATGGTGCTTGGGCGGCGCTGGCGAGCATCAAATCTCTGCTCTACAGGGAAGCTGCTTCGATGCGATTTGAGTCTTTCCACTAACAAGTAATAGATAGCAGCAAAGTGGTTATAACTCTTGTTCTGCAGTGACTGAAAAAGAAAAGTGCAAGAGTTTATATGCAGTCAAATACAGGTTATTTTTTACATTCTGTGAGACCAAGAAGCAAGAATTGTCATCTCAGGAAAAAAAAAGAAAAAAAGATACTGAAGAGGGGTTTACAGCATGCAAACATTGTTCTGGAGTTGAGAAAGTTTCAAATTGGAGTGCTAAGCAAAGTGTAAGAATCAAATGTTGTTTCTGCATTAGAATTGGATAATATTTTTTATTTCATGATCTCCACTGTCACAGTTCTTTTTGGGAGTCTTTCTACTTTACTCTGATAGTTTGCATCACTTATCCTCTAGACAAACCTTCCCTAGGAATGCATACTCAGTATACAGTGTATATATGTGTATTTTGTCATATCCATTGTGAGAATACCCTAAATGAGGATCAAACCAGAGAACAAGTCATGCCCTGCCCAAAGAAGCACCTGAAGAAATATCGGAGGGCCTGGCATCAGCCCCGCCTCCCCATGCTTTTTGTTTAACAGAAGACTTTGAAGAAAATCACCGTATCAATACGCCAAGAAGAGCACTGAGACATCTTGGAAACAACAGGATGGCTGCTGACTGACACCAGATATCGCACCAATTAACAAATGTAAACTTTGATAAGATTATGAACCTGGAGCACCCAGCCATTGGGGAAACAGGGGAGAGGGATAGGCAAAGGAGGAAACAAGGTACAAAAAGCTGTCATTGTGTCCTTAGAGGTGCTCCTGCTTCCAGGACACCTGCCATTGCAATTGCAAATAAAATCTGCTTTTATCAGAGATACCGTCCTGACAAAAATTATTTGGATATTTTCAACAAAAGCATCAGCTTTAGTATAGGGGCCTTTGTAAATCACGAGGCTCACAGTATTCCAGTTTGCAGCAGTACCTATAGCTAATGTTAAGGAGCAGTCCCAAGCCTTCAGAAATTTGAGAACAGAGGAGTGACTGAGATGAGTGACCTCCTGAATGTACTGGCCATCCCAAATCACTAGAAACAAAAGGAGCCAGGCCTCTATAACGCAGAGAAGCCTCCTCTGGCAGGAAGTACTCAAGTGCAGCCTCTACAATGGTTAAAAGCGTCAACCACTGTATAAAGAAATGACTGTGTTAACTCCACAAGGAGTCTGTTAGTATTTACATTTAGTAAGAAGCACAGGTTGGGATTGGAGGGAAACATGTAACTGCTTAGTACTTCTGTGATCTCCCTCTCCCTTCCATGGACAACTGCTCAAGACTGGTTTACCTCTATAGTCTTCTGCTGGTCTATTCCAAGGCTGTGCATTAGCCGGAGAACCTGTTCGTTATACTCTCCAATGGAAGGCTGGTTCTCCTGTCCTGGGGCATAAAGAACAGTTCTCTGGGCAGGAACTTCTATCAGCATCCACTTGTGTTCCTTAATCTGAGCAATCGTTAACCGTTTGGATGGGTCTAGGACCAGCATTCTTCTAATCAGATGCTCACAATCTGTTGGGGAGTAAAACATATTACCAGCCTGCTTACTGTTTGCATATTTTCACCTGACACCTCCCAAAAGAGCGTGACAACAGGAAGCTGCCTCTCTTCTACTTGACTCCGGCACTAAAAACATTTCCTGAGGGCTACAACAATCTTTGAAAACAAGATTAAAAGTCACACAAGAGGGAAGAAAAAAAGACCCAGCTTCTTTAAAGCACAGTGCCATTACATCTACATAGCTCCTACACAAGGGGCGAGGTAACATTTAATAACTCTTTGAAGCTGCTTGTGCTTCCTGAGTGCCAACATTAACTGATAAAGCTTCAAAAACCTCTGGGAAATGTGTGTGGGGAAACAAGCATCTTTCTCCAGCATTCTGAAATAGCTTGTCCAGGCTCATGGAACAAGAGGTTGGCAAAAGTAAGGTTTATTATTAAACTGATTACTATTAAAGATTTTCACCCCAGTGCTCACAAAATGCATCTGTGGCTGTGAATAGTAGCCAATGGCAAAGAGCAGTTTTACCTGTTTTAATTCCAGGATCAAAGCACAACCAGTGCTTTAGGTGCCACAGTGATTCTGAATATAACAGGGTGTCGCTGTTTTCTGACCACTACATATTCAACAGTACTAAAAAGAGTGATCACAGAGATCTCAGTTGGGTTCTGGGAGATGAGGGTACAAGAGATGAACACAGTTCTCATGCAATAAAAAGTCAGTATAACAATGTAAGTTAACTAATGTAAGCTTACCAATCTGTCCTGCATTTCTAGCTGACCATAAGATGCTATGAGCCAGCCAACTCAAATATTTATGACGGATAGTTTAGAGAGATTTCTGGCTATTTATTCCTGTTGATCTCTTTCGGTTTCCATGTTTTGCTAACAGGCAAATTCTCCCCACTCCCTGCAACACCATGTGATCAGCAAAGGAAGCTGCAAAGCTGGAAATGAAACAGCCCATCTGCACCTCAATCACAGCAACAGCTGATGTGTGGAATCAAACTCTGTAACTCAAGTAAGATTACAAAGCAGGTACAGTTTATTCAGTGCTGCGCAGACACCGGATGCAATGGGGATAGATCCACCTAACTTGCAGAATGCAGGGCAAAACCTTAGTACAGATCTAGGCTAAACTAATACATAATCAATGATTTTCCCAGAATTTGCATACATATTCATTAAATTTCCAAGAGCCCACCGGCATATGGTCGCTCCCTCTTGCACATGCGCCAGGGGCAGTGGGGTTCTCCTGGTGGTCGTGGGATGAAAGCTCATTGTCTTCAACAGAAGTAATCCCATCCTGACCCATTTGTTGTGTCATGTTTCTTCAAGTTTACAATTGAGTGTCCAGATGTTATCTGGCCTCACATCCTGCTTACCTGCATTCCTATACATTGGTTAACCCTTACCTTGTCCTTTCCTTACTCACGTTCCCCTACAATGGTTAACCTTCAGTTTGTCCTCTACTAACTCACAGCTGCTACCTGCACAGAGGTTCTTGCATCTAGTTCACATGCTTATATCAGCAAAGTCACAAACACAGCACAACTCAGAGCAGGCTGCAGACTGTGCCCAGGAAGCTGAGGGCTTGCTGCAGTGCAGTGTTGGTAAAAGCGACCAAATAGCTGAGCTAACCAGATCAGCTGTACAATAGCAGCTATTTTCAGGTGCAGCATGCACTAAACACCACCAGAATGAAAAAGGGGAGGATCAGAATGTTTTGCACCACGGAATGCTGAACAACAGACAGAAAAATTATTTTTAATTCCCTTAAAACAAATAAACAAAATCCCATAAAAAGTAGAATACTGAAAGGGGATTTGATTCAGGAAGAGTTCTTTTGAAGTAATCAGGCTTAGAGACCCTTTAATAAATGGAAGCTGAAGGACACCATCAAACTGTGCAAAAATGGCCCAATTTGTTCTCATCTGAGAGGCACATGGAAGAGGGAAACCCAACAGATGGGGCAGTTAGGTAAGGCAGAGATCTAACAGTCAGTTGTGTCTGGGAGTGCCACAAGTACACGAAGTTGGCATATGAATTCATTGTGCGCTTATTTGCTTTTGTTTAGCAGACACTGTCAAATGCTCAATCCACAACCTAGGAATGACAGTGATATTGCTATCAGCATATTTTCTTCCCAGATTAAAATGTTTACGGCCTTGTAAAATGAAAGTTAATTGCTATACAGATGTGCCTCTCCCCCTATGTCCCCATATTCCTGGTCACAGTAGAATGAGAGATCCTTCACCCTCTATTTCAATTTTCTCCTTGTCTACGGACAAGCCACACTGCAATCTGCAGGAAGAATGGGCTGGTTTGCCTACCTAGGAGAAGTAGCCTAATTGCAAAGACATACAGCTCACCTAGGCTTTTACTTGTGTTTCTTTGCAAAATGAGAAACAATTTGCTGTACTGTAATCTGCTGGGCAGATATACCACCCTCACTGTACTGCAACAGAGATTATTCTAGAATTTAATCAAAGTTTAACATAGCAAGAATATAAGACAAGCCATTACCTTCTGACATAAAGTAAGGTATCCTGAACCTTCCTTCCAGAACTCGCTGCCTCAGTATGGGGAGCGTTGGCCCATCAAAAGGTAATGCTCCACAGACCAAAACATAAAGAACCACACCCATGCTCTGTAAGAAAGAGAATATTCCTTTCATTTTTCAGGCTTCAAGCAAAGTAGTTGAGCTTGGTTAGCCAAATCCTGTCACAGAAAAGTCTGTAAATTATGTCCCAGAGAAACAGGAAATTTATGCATAGTAGAGTTAGAATTCTGAAGACTTCTGTTAGACCTTAGAACACTAAGCCCCAAGTGGCTAGGCTTGCAGTATCTGTGCCAATAAGCAGGTAAGTTGAAGCATAGCATGCTGGAGACTCTGGCTGCTAGCAGGAAGCTCGTGACAGATGACTAAATGAGACCTGCAGAGCAAGCCCAAACTAAGGTAAGAATCAGAAACTATTGCTCTGAATGTCATTCAAACAAAAGCAAACCTCAAACAGCAGCCGCTTAAAATAAGAAACGTTTCACATTTACCAATTTGCAGAAACCTGGGTAAGAAACCTGGCATCCTGGTATCTTTATCAACAGCGATCTTCAGGGAAAGATGGATCTGTACTGCTGTGTACAGTACTCTGAGCATAGGGGATTGTGTAAAACGAACAAAAGGAGACAATCTGGGAAAGGGCTCTCATCCAATTGCCAGACTAATTTTGTGAAGCACGTAAGTTAATTGGCAAGTGGAAATCGTCCTGCAGCAGATGCCAGAAAAATATCACACCACACAAGATGAAATAGCCACAGCAAATGAAATAACCACACCAAACTCTCATGCCATGAGTTGCAGCAGATAGTCACAGCACTCAATTTCTTAGGAGGAAAAAAGGAAAACATTTAACATTTACCTTAAAACTTTTTAGAGATACAGAATCATCTCAGAAAATAAGTGAAGCTAAATTTCAGATAAGCTTTATCTGAACTATAAACAGCCTGCTTTTCTTTGTGAGCAGGTTTATTCTGTTAATAATTTAGGGTCACACATACTTAGAAATATTTACCAAAGCTCAGAGATTCACTTTTGATGTTCAAAACTGACATCTACTGTAGGCTTATTTGTCAATTACTGGAGATTCAGAAAGGCAATCGCCTATTTTTTTTTTTAATATGTCTACATATATATGTAAATAACATTTATATGTGTGATATATGTGCGATATAACATATATATATGTGATAACATTGATAGACAAATGCACGTATGCATCTATGTACATAAAAGCACAGTGTTTCTTTGTTAAAAGAACTAGCATCATTTTAATTAGCAGCTGAAAGGTGACCTTCTGTGCACCTTTTGCTTACCAGGCTTTGGCGAAGATGTCAGTGCCTACGTTATGAAGTGTGTAATAGTATCACCACAAACCTAATACCAGAGCAGTGGCTGCCAAGTTGTATTGTGTCTGGTTGCTTCAGAAAGTGAATGTCTTGTAAGTAGCAGAATATTAAATAAATAAAAATTTGGAATGACAAAGCAGGCTGACAACAGATGAAGGGCACAGAAAACTTCTTTGGCTCAGTCTTATCCCTTTTCAATTGTGTAAGAATGAAGGTGACTCCCTTGCATTGATAGCACGCAGAAAGATTCAGAAACAGGCAACTCAGAGAAGAAAGCAACCATCATCTCTCCATCTCTTCTGAGTTTCAGCTGCTCTGAGTCCCATCAACTTCAGGAACAGGTTCAATCCCCACTTAACACAGAAAATACCAGAGGCACATAAACAGCAAAGTTCATGCATTCATACAAGGGAGATTTTGCAGGAGGTGCAGGCTTTCCTCTGATATGCTTACACAGATTTACAACATACACTTAACAGGCACGTAGATAGGTAACTTTAATTTTATCTGGTGTTAAGAGGCATTTTTACATCAAGGAGTAAACCTAAAGAGCAACAGTTGTCTGCAGCTTAAGAAAGCTCAAAGGCAATTCATTTACTCCAGCTTCCCAAAAGTTGACTTGAATCCACTTAAAATTAAGTAAATAAAATAGCAATACCCAGATATCCAGCTGGGGTCCTTCATATTGCTGTCCTTCAAAGACCTCTGGAGCTGCATATGGCGGGCTTCCACACCACGTTGTCAGAGGCTCACCACTCTTGTAGAAATTTCCAAATCCAAAATCTGTTGAGAAATAAAGGGGAAAAGTCACTCCAGATGCCAGCTGCATGACACACCGAATAATCGTAGGCATAGGCTGGGCCTGAAAGCTCACCTTCATTCATAAAAGGCTGTATCATAAATCCTTTTATCATTACTCCCACTGCAAGCATTTATTAGAATGCTGAATGTCCTCTACTGCTATTTTCACAATGGCATAATCATTAAAATATTCTACAACACCTATAGAAGTTTTAAGTAAACTTGTAGCAGTTTGCTAAATCTGAGTTGATAAACAGCTATTACTAAAATTCAACAAAATGTCACCCATATGTATGAGCTTATTTACTTGCGAAGAGATACCTGAGCCACAGTGCTGAATCTGAGATACCCTGGGCTTTCATAGGTACTCTCTAGCCTTGAATAAACAAAATTGATAACAAAAAGATCAGTTTTGGAGATGGGAAGAAGAAACTCTGCCAAAAGCAACAAGCACACACAGCCTTCTGCAAGGAAGGAAGCTCTGCTCCTAGGATTGCCCATAGCTCTTTCAGTCTCTCAGTAAACCTTACTAGTCTACAACTGAGCCATTCTTTTAAAAGGCTTCCTACAGCTTAACATGAAACCAGACTTCTGGACTTCAGCATTACTGATATCAATCCAATAATTAAATATGAAATGACAGCCACAATTGAATATAGAGATGAAGCCAGAAAAGAGCCTGCCACAAACAGTAGATTACCCTGTTGCTGCTTTCCTGAGTTGCATGGTTTTTTTTTCATTACTAGAACAAAACAGCAAACAACAATAGCATTGAGGAAGCTGGCTTAGTGACTGAACCAAGGCTGATCATTTTTAGAATGCAGAATTCCATGTGGGTGTTAAAACTCCCTTGCGTCTGATCTGTAGCTGCTCTCCTGTCAGTCACTTCACCTTTCTCAGTCTTCAGAGACCTTCACAGCACAGACCTTACAGCTCCTTTTATTTCCAACCATCACTCTCACTCTTTGCTTGGTTCATACATCAAGGGGGCAGTAAGAATGAAGAATAAAGCAAATGAAGTACCTCCTACATCCACTGTAGATACCCATTCTGAACACACTGCTTCAACAGCACTACTTGGTATTAAAATACAAGGCTTGTCTTACTCTTCAGGCTTTTAATAAAAGCCTCTGAAGTACACTATATGGATAGACCTATTCATATGCTGAGTCAAAATTCCAGCTCCACTTCCCATAGAATTCAATGGAGCCACATTTCTCTTAGTCCACTGTTCCCTTTGTGCTGCAGACACCCCATACGTCCCATGACACCCAAGTGCTGTTAGTACTAAAATAAAAGAGAAGTCCTCAAGGTGAGAGATCTGATAATAAGGAAAACACTCTTTGGATTTAAAACTTTCAGGCAAACTAGCTTCAGTTCACAAACAATTTGGCTGTATCTCCAGAAGGACCACAGAACAGAACATTACCAAGTGATTGGTGTGCAAAAACCATCAAGCACAGTGATGCTGTTTGTGTTCATCCCTGAGCAACTACTGCTTGAACAATGGTTCAGCTGTTCCCTGCCCCTTCTTCCTACACACTGCAGCAGAGCATGGAGTAGAAGGCTATAAGTTGCTTTGTGCTGCTTTTCATAAGTGATAACACTTTTACCCTTGGAGTTCCCACAGAGTAATACAGCATATTGGTGTGACTTGAGGAATGCTGTGAAAGTCAGCCATGTTGATATGCAGTGGTCAGTCTGTTGATTTAGTCCTATCAGCTGCTGCCTGACTCAGAGGTACGTTAGTGTGTGGTGCTGCCAATCAGCAGATAGCAGTACAGATATACACTGTGGTTAGGAGACGCTATACTGGGCACTGCTGGTGCCTCTTTTGGTTTACGGGCTCTGTATCACTGCATGAGAGAATCCCCAGAGTCAGTCAATACGTAGATACTAAACAGAAAAATTTAGCAGGCTTAACAGTAGCACGTAATTGCTTTAGAGGAGCTTGACTCTAGAAGTCTTTGATTGCTTTCCTAGTAAGTCACCAGAGCTCCAGTTTATTGAACAGCACTCCTGCAATATACATAACAAATAATGCAGGCAGAAGACACAGTATCAAGAACACCAAAACTGTAGAGTCTGAGAACACTTTTTGCCTTTCACGATTTTTCTTTAGCATGTAATAAGACACAAACTCGGTCAAATTTGGTTTCAGCAAGTTCAGAAGTTATCTGGAACACACACACACAGCAGCATGACCTCATAAGCTTTTTGACTGTTGCTATTAACTATTTCAACTTTGAGTTCACTAATGATTTCAGCAAGATTTGAAAAGAGATCCCAAGTCTTTTCATACCCCAGGTTAATTCTTCTCACCAAGAGCACCCCCTTACAACCTTCATCACCTCTGCTTCACTGCTCACGCTGCAGTGCTGAGTCTCTATTGTGTTAAAAAGTACAACTCTTCTGAGGAGGATATTCTTAGTTGTCTTTGATGAAATGTACTAATTAGGAATAATAGAGGAATTATGGAGAGCCAAGGCTATGCAACCAGCCAGCTCTCAGCATGGAAGTGTCCACAGTGGGTAGTGCACTGTAAGGTAACAGACTCAGGCAGGCAGTGGTAACTGTAGATCTCCCAGTTATGCACAAATAGCTCATACTTTTCTGTCCTTATTTTGTGCCTCCTCTTTCCAAAGCTCAGTCTAATCTTGAAGGAACTGCTAGTTACAGCAGTGCACACGGCTCACCTGTCTTATAGCAATTCTAAGTGCTGTTCTTCCATTGTAAACACATCTTGAAGAGTACTTTGCAAGATGACTAAAACACTTTTTATTTAGGAATTTCAAGGGACTGAGAATTTGTCTCTTGTCAAGTGTTTGAGGGTGCTAAGGAACGTTACAGCAAGGATGCTGAAATAGAGCAGGCTAGTTCAGGTAGAGCTCATACCTAGTTCAGGTATGAAATCCGTGACTCAGAGCAGGGCCAAGCATAGCTGAAGTGCCTGTCCATTCTCTGCACAGTGAATGGAAATTGTCCCTCTTTGTTGAAACCTCTTTCCTTAGCACTTCAACAGCTTGAAATCTGATGCTGCAGCTCTGCTGTAATGTTTCTGCCACCACAAATGCACATCACATGCTCTGGGAACATCTCAGTCCCCCAGATACCTCAAAGCATAAAGGGAAGATCCCAAAGCATAATGCTAGATCCCATTTCTTTTCATAAAGATTTGCCTAATGCATTTGTTTCCCCTCGGCAGTTAACTACAGAGCCCAGTACTCTATATGTACTTCATTAGCATCTCATCAATTGATTGCAATTTGCCTTTTCTTTTTAAATAAACCAGTCATCTTGTGAAATAGATATTAGAGATTTCTGAATTTGCCTTATAAGAGATCAAGTCTAAAAATAAGCAGCATAGTCCTTTCAGACCAATGCATGCCAGTGCAGTACAGATACTAGCTACTTTGTCAGCCACATTAAGGTTGTGTAGAAACAGAAAAATCTACCTTATCTACCTGACCACATATCTGGAACTTCTGTGTCCAACCCAAAGTTGCCAAAAAAGCTGTACTTCAGTTGTCCAGATCCCTTAGAGAAGCCAGGCCAATGGCTGAGCCCACCACAAGTAACTCCACACTGAACAGGCAAAAAAACTTTTCTTGGTAGCATTAACCCTGCATTATATACCAAAAAAAGCCTCTAATTTGGATCTGCAGGCTCTCCTAATACTCAGACTGGCTTACACAACCAGCTAGTGGCTGCTTTGTATCCACATACACTGTAAATGAACTCTACTACTTTTGTAGCAATGGCAAGAGCTAAATCTAGTGCCAGTGACTCTCCCAAGCCATTCCTGTAATTCCTCATGCAGAAAAAAAGTTATCTGATCTTCATCCGTCCGGGAAGTGATCCCAAAGTACGTCAGTGCAGCTACAAAGGATGTATTCTCAGAGACATCTGACAACTGCAGAACACTGTGTGCACAATGTGGAGGTCTTTACTTTATTAGAAATTCTCACATGCACACGAGTGGGAAACCGTCTTCCAATACGTAGCAGGAGGAGATAGTCTTCTGAAAGATATACTTTAGTTCAAAAGTAATTAAGCTGGACATTTATATCTACGCTTCATTTACCAATTTAACCCAGTGTTAAATTAAACTTAAATTTAACCTTAAATTAAATATGTATTCCAGAGAATTAACATACTTCTATTACAAGAGACCATATTGGTTACTGCAGAGATCTGTTACAAGCAAAACCTCCACCTTGATCCAAGGTCACTATCCCGGCTCTGACTCAGAGACTCACGTACTCACTGTCAGTGAACTTTTTGGACTTGGCCATCATCAAAAAGCATCTGCCTAAAGGGGAACTACAACACCAGAATTATCAGCTGAAGGTCAGACTGCAAGATCCACAACAGTGCCACACACTGCAAATACACAGAATGCCTGACAGTTGCATGAACAGTTATGCAATGGCATCCTGGCATGCCACTGTACTCTGGAGGCACCAACGTCAGCTCAGATTCCAGATCTAAGTAGGAAATACCAAACATAATATTGGTGCCATCTTTCCTTTTGCATTCTTCTTCTGTGCTAAAACAATTGCAATATAAGTTGCAGTAACACAGAGAACAACAAAATTTCCTTAAAACAAAAAACAAAAAACAAAAAAAACAAAAAAACCCAAATCCCAGTGACTTTTTCTGATCACAGATAGACTTTTGTTGTGAATCTCTTATTTTCTTTGAGAAGACATTTCTTTACACATCATTGGCTTGGCAACTCCAACAATACTTCAGGAAACACACAGCAATTTATTTTCACATAAACATTTTTCTGTCTGTGTAGGTGTAATTTAATCTGATCTCTCTTCACTTATCTTGAGCATGTCAGATAATTATCAATCCAACTCCCAGCTGCAGCTCCTACTCAGGTGCCACCCTCATAAACCTGTGTACCAGATTCACAGGTACACATTCATAGATTTGTAAGCACAGCTATAGGAAGCATAACCTGTCTGGATATA